TGCGGGTCTCGAACCCGCGGGCTCAGGCAATCCACTCACCTCAGCCTCCCAAAGGCGCGGGATTACAGGCTGAGCCACCGAGCCCGGCTGAGTTAGACCTTTTAAATTATCTTCCTTCATTGGTTTGGTTTCATGTTGATGATGGTTAAACTTTTGGTTGTTGTTTAGAAGAGTGGGAATTTTTGTCTTAGAGGGACATGAAAAGACACTCTAGGGCCAGTCCAGAGTTCTGGCTTGTTTTCTGGTTCATCAGGTGCCCCTGAGCACGATGCTCAAAGGCCTGCCCACAATAATTGTTTAATACACATTTATTAAATGGAACAGGGAAAGTTATTACCTCCTGGTTAACAAAAGATCCATTTCTTGAGCACTTTGTACTTGCTAAGCCTTTCATAAGCATTTTACATTTATTATTATACATGATAAGAAGATTGCATAATCTTCACAGCAACACGATGCAGTGAGTATTATTATTATTATTATTATCCTCATTTTACAGATGGGGAAACTGAGGTTTGAGAAGTTAAGCAACTTGTCTTCAACCTTTTTGTTAAGTAAATTTGTTTTTTTTGGTTTTTTTTTTCTGTTTTTTGTTTTGTTTTGTTTTTTGAGTTGGTGTCTCACTCTGTCGCCCAGACTGGAGTGCAGTGGCTGCTCCCAGCCACCGCAGCCTCTACCTGCTGGGCTCTGGCGATCGTTCCGCCTCAGCCTTCCAAGGAGCTGGAACTACAGGTGCGCGCTACCACGCCCAGCTCATTTTTTTTTATTTATTGTAGAGATGGGGTCTTGCCAAGTTGCCCAGGCGGGTCTCAAACCCGCGGGCTCAGGCAATTCACTCACCTCGGCCTCCCAAGGCGCGGGATTACAGGCTCAGCCACCAAGCCCAGCTCTCGTTTTTTTTTTGAGTCGTAGTCTCACTGTTGCCCAGGCTAGAGTGCATTAGCACACTCTTGGCCACTGCATCCTTGACCTGCTGGGCTCAGATGATTCTTCCACCTCAGCCTTCCAAGCAGCTGGAACCACAGGCACGCACCACCATTAACCATGCCTGGCTAATTTTGTTTTAATTTATTGCAGAGACAAGGTCTTGCCAAGTTGCCCAGGCTGGTCTTAAACCCCTGAGTTTAGGCAATCCTCTCGCCTCTGCCTCCCAAATTGCTGGGATTACAGGCCTGAGCCACTGCTCCCGGCTAAGTAAATTTTAGAACTAGAATTGCAAGCCAGATCTAACTCCAGAGCCCAAACCTGGGAAAAGGGTAGTTGGGCTTTGTGCATTCAAAGGAGCTTTTCTCCATTTCCCAGTCTCTCAGGTCTCATACCCTGCCAAGGAAGTGTGAGATTTTGTTGCTTTCTGGTTATTCTCACTCTGCTCACCCTGTGGGAGCGTCATCCCTCCCCCCCCATGACATCCTGTATAGATTCCTGTGGCTGCTGTAATAAATCACCACAAACTTAATGATTAAACCAACCAATTTATTCACACATAGTTTTAGGGGCTAGAAGTTTGAAATTAAAGCATTGGCGAGGTCACACTTCCTTCAGAGGCTTTTGGGGAGATTTTATTCCCTGCCGCTTCCAGCTTCTGGCGGTTATTGGAATTCTTTGGCTTGTGGTACAGCACTTCCATCTCTTAACTTCAATGTTAGTGTCTTTCAGATCTTCCCTCTGTGTCTTCTCTGTGTCTTTCAAATCTTCCCTCTGTGTCTTCTCTGTGTCTTTCTAATCTTCCCTCTGTGTCTTCCCTGTGCCTTTCTAATCTTCCCTCTATGTCTTTCAGATCTTTTTGTGTCTTCTCTGTGTCTTTCAAATCCTTCCTCCCTGTCTTCTCTGTGTCTTTCAAATCTTCCCTCTGTGTCTTCTCCGTGTTTTTCAAATCTCTCCTGTGTGTGCTTGTCATTGAATTTAGGGCCCAACCTGATAATCCAGGATAATCACCTCATCTCTAGATCCTTAACTTAATCACATCTGCAAAGACCTTTTTTCCAAATAAAGTCATATTTGCAGGTTCTGAGAGTTAGGACACGGACGTACCTTTCAGGGGCCGCCAATTAAACCACTACAAATGTTGATGAATACTTTCCCAGCAACCAGGCAAGCACCTGTTTTTGGCATGTGCTTTGGCAGGTGTGAATTCTGGCAAAGGCTACTTTTCCAGTGAGTGACTGAATATCAGCGAGATTTCATAACTTGTTTTTTCACAGGTGTTTCCATGCTTTTCATGTGAATCACCAAATCTTAAATCCAGCTAAGGCCTCTTGGGGCCTCCCCAGAGGGGGTCGCCTGTCTCACAAGGTTTTGTTTTCTTTCAGATTGCTGACCTGCAGCTGCATAAACTGGATGAACTGGACTGTCTGATTCAGGGCCTGCTTTACGTCGACTCCGTTGGCTTCAACGGCAAGCCGGAATGTTACTATTTTGAAAACCCTACAAATCCTGAATTGTGTCAAAAAAAGCCGTACTGCCTTGATAACCCATACCCTATGTTGCTGGTTAACATGGGCTCAGGTGTCAGCATTCTAGCTGTGTACTCCAAGGACAACTACAAAAGAGTTACAGGGACCAGGTAAACATGTTTCCACTAAAAGAACCTTTTTGTGCTTGAACACAGGCCTCTTTCTTGGGGACCAGTTAATAGTAAAAGGCCATTTACATTGGATACTTTTTTTTTTTTTTGAGTTGTAGTCTCACTCTGTCGCCCAGGCTGGAGTGCAGTGGCACGCTCACGGCCACTGCAACCTTGACCTTCTGGGTTCAAGCGATCCTTCCGCCTCAGCCTTCCAAGTAGCTGGAACTACAGGCACATGCTGCCACGCCCAGCTAATTTTTTGGTTTACTGTAGAGATGAAGTCTTGCCAAGTTGCCCAGGCTGGTCTTGAACCCATGGGCTCAGGCAGTTTTCTCACCTCGGCCTCCCAAAGTGCTGGGATTATAGGCATGAGGCACCATGCATGGCCTGGATACATTTTTAAAAGAAATATCTTGGCCTTCTCAGCCATCCCAAAAGGATTTATTGAATTTAAAGTAGTAAGTAGAGAATTTATATAAAGGTTAATAAAACGTAGTCCTTGTCCTGACAGAAATTGTTTTCAAGTTGAGGGGAAAATGGTTACACACATCAGAAAGTTGCCAACAAGACAGTATCTATGAAGGGCCAAATGGATAGCAGGGACAATAAACACAATAGAATTCAGGTGGAAGGATACTTGGGATGGTCAGAGAGGGTTTCAGAAGAAACCCTCGTTTGAAACCTCCTTCATGCCCAGCACAGATGAATTGCTTGAGATAATATGCCACTCCAACCAGCAAACCAAACTGGGTTTACAAAGAATTTTTTTTTTTAACCTTCAGGTAAATACTCCAGCTGAAACTGGAATAGTCAGCACATCTCCTAGGGAGTTTTAGAGTACAGTGGATAGGAAGATAGCCCTGCAGTCCCAGTGGGGCAGAGGGCTTTGTTTTTTAGTGCACACGCCCCAAGGTCCATGCAAGGGCAAATGGGCTCAGCTTCCTGTTCATGGGGATTGACATGGGGGAAGAATCTGGGTCGGGTATCTTTGATACATCCCAACGTAAACAAAGCTAAGCAAGTTTTTCTTTAAGAGGAGAATTTGCTGTGAAATGTTTCTCTAACTTATTGGACCACTGACAGTGTTTGGAGGAATACCTTAAGGAACTAATGCGATGTAGAATGTGCTTTTACCTATGATGTTGAAACTATTTGATCTTGATGTCGAAACCAGTGTTTTTGATAGATGAAGATATCACGTGTTTCCCTGGGTCTCATTATTCTGATTCCTGCCAAGAAGGGGCTGTTTCTTAGATTGTTGTTTTTTTTTTTTGTTTGAGTTGGAGTCTCACTTTGTCGCCCAGACTGGAGTGCAGTGGCCGCTCCTGGCCACCGCAGCCTCGACCTGCTGGGCTCCAGCGATCCTTCCGCCTCAGCCTTCCAAGTAGCTGGAACTACAGGCGCGCGCTACCACGCCTGGGTGATTTTTGATTTATTGTAGAGATGAGGTCTCGCTGCCCAGGCGGGTCTCGAACCCGCGGGCTCAGGCAATCCACTTACCTCAGCCTCCCAAAGGCGTGGGATTACAGGCTGAGCCACTGAGCCCGGCTTAGATTGTTTTTTACAAGCTTTTTCAGTACTGAAATTCTGCGGGACTAACTTCTTACCCATTAGGAGAGCACTGTTCTTCCAATGCATTTCCGTGACTTGTAATAGGTCAGTGGTTCAGCCGGACATGTGGCTCATGCTTATAATCCTAGCACTTTGGAAGACTGAGGCGAGAGGATTGGGTTCAAGACCAGCAACATAGTGAGACCTTGTCTCTACAATAAGTCAAAAAATTAGCCGAGCATGGTGGCACACACCTGAGTTTCCAGCTACTTGGAAGGCAGAGGTGGAAGGATCATCTGAACCTAGCAGGTCGAGGCTGTGGTGGCCGTGAATGTGCCACTGCACTCCAGCCTGGCCAACAGAAAAGAGATTCAAAAAAAAAGAGATATGTCAGTGGTTCCCCAATGGGAAGGGGAAGATTAACAACTCTCCCCCTTCCCACCAGGGAATGTTTGACAGAATCCACAGACATATTTTTGGTTGTTACAACTAGAAGTGGGGGTGCTTCTGGCATCTAGGGGTAGAAGCCAAGGATGCTGCTAAATTCCTACAATATATAGGGCAACAAAAAATGATCAAGCCTCAAATGTCAATAGTGCTGCTGTTGAGAAACCCTGACCTGTACCCTCACGTGTGTGCACGCGTTCTGACTGAAGCCTGCTAGTGTTCAAAGTACTGGCTTTGTGGTGTGAGTTTATTGCTACAAGATGTATATTTTCTCACTGAGGATACAGAAGCTCATATCAGAACATCAGAGTCAGAACAGACCCCACAGCCTCGTTGGGACTATCAGGAGTCTCAGGCACATGACTATTTCATCTGAGCTGGTTTTACTTGAGAGAGTGATCTCCAGATACAAGTACAAGATTTAAGAAGATACAGGCTTCCTCCCAGAAGGAGTAATTGAAGTGGTAAAGCTAGTCCCCAGGTAACAAAAAGCAAAACATGCTTCACACTTTGAGACATGTACAATTTTGTTGATGAACCCGTCACACCTTCATGAGTGACATCCCAGGAATGCTTTCTCAAACTTGTAACCTCCAGGGACTTGAGTCATCTTGAATAGCTGCTAATCCATGTAACAATGTCTATAAGCTTCAATTATTGAGAAACGCCCATGAATGACCAGTCCTCAACCAATATTGACCAATTCTCAAGCTTCCCTATAAGCTTGCTCTTCAATCAATCATTTTGGAAAGGTGCTACAGGAGACAGGGGTTTCTTTCAGGGGTTCTCACAGGTAGGGGAGGTAAATGAAATATCGAGTCTGTGGGGCCCTAGTCCTTATCCTTTCAGAGTTGTTTTGCCAAAGGTTTCTTTTAATTCAAGTTAGGAAACCTCTGACATAAACTATTATGGCTAGCAGTGAACGTCAGCATGTAGAATACACTTTGGAAATCACTGATCTAAACACATGGCTTAAGCTTTAAGTTTTGCTATTCTTGTTGTGAGCTGCTAGCTGTAACTCAAGTTTTTTTGTTACTGTGTTATAACTGATTTTTCCCATTAAGCATTTTATTTATTTATTTTGAGTCAGGTTCTCACTCTGTCACCAGGTTGGAGTGCGGTGGCATGATCACAGCTCACTGCAGCTTCGACCTCCTGGGCTCAGGCGATCTTTCCATCTCAGCCTCTGAGGTAGCCGGGACTATAAGCACGTGTCACCACACTTGGCTAATTTTAAAATTTTTTTTTTTTGTAGAGACGAGGTCTCCCTGTGTTGTCTAGGTTGGTCTCGAACTCTTGAACTCAAGCGATCCTCATGCCTCAGCCTCCCAAAGTGCTTGATTACAGGCGTGAGCCACCGCGCCTAGCCAATGCTTTTATTTTTAAGAAGCCATATCATTACAGGATATCAGTTTTCTTTTAAACCTGGTTTTGGAGGGTTCGTTTTAGGTTTCTGTGTAATTTTATTGCATCCTAGATTAGGTAGCAGTATTTTTTTTCTAGTGACACAACTCCAATTTTATTAAAGAAGTCAATAGAAAAAATCGTACAGCTGACTGTTAGAATGTGCAGTTCATTAAGAGGAATGTAAGAATTTTGAAACTTTGGTAAAGGTAGCTGCATCTCAGTACACCATTTTGGAATCCATTTTAAGAACACAAACGCTCAGTAATTGAAGGTTTCTTCTACTTCTTCTGAAAACCCCTTACTACGATGTTGTTTCTTTGTTTTGTTTTGTTTTGTTTTTAAATGATGATATAGTCAGTTGCTTTTTCTAGCAATGTTTTTGTCTCTGATATACCGAGGGTTTTACTGTGTCTGCCACAATAAACAGATGCATCTGATTGTGAGCAAGGAAGTCACTTGATTAAATAATAGTTAGCAGGTTGAGGCTATTATGAAAGTGCTGAGAGACTTTGGGCTCATCTGCGACCATGCGTTTTTTCCTCTGCCCTGCAGTGTGCCCGCTCTGCAAATGCATGCTTGCTTTTCCCATTGTGCTCCGACTCCGTACCTGGGGTCACCTGTCATTTTCCAGCTATCTGAGACACATTCCCTTTTTCACTTATACCAACATATCAGTTGAGTTACCTTCTTTCTAAGTCAGCCGATGTCTTCAGTTGCCTACCTTTGGAGTGGGTTGTTGAATGCTTTGATTAATATGAATCGCTAATGTTCACAGAAAGGTTATTAGTGTGGATGAAAGGGATTTAGGAGCTAGAAAATATATGGAGAGGAAAAAAAAAAGACCAATCCAGATGGCACATAAACCAAAAAACTAGCTTTCCCACACTAGCTTGGTAGCAGAGGCTGAAACCAACAACGTAGCATGACACACCATGTTACATGTAAGTAAAGATGAACCTTCTTAGAGGAAATCCAAAATTTCTGCTATGACTGAGTTGTCCAGGTTATAAAGTACATGGAGATCTTTGTTTCATTGTGGCACTGCACCTACCATTTGGGTAGCTGATACTGGTGGTACCTAACTACAGAATTTTTCATGAGAACCCATAATTTTAGTCAAGTGTATATGTGTATACACATATACAACACTGTATCACAGTGTTTAAGATTATTACACAGTTTTACTTTATTTTTTCACTTAATTTTTTTTCTATCTTATTTTATTTTAATTTAATTTAATTTTTTTTTTTTTTTTACGAGACAAGATCTCACCAAGTTGCCCAGGCTGGTCTCAACCCCTTGAGTTTAGGCAGTCCTCTCACCTTGGCCTCCCAAAGTGCTGGGATTACAGGCTTGAGCCACCATGCCTGGCCTTAACTTAATTTTTAAGAGACGAGGTCTCAGCTGGGCTTGGTGGCTCACACCCATAATCCCACCACTTTGGGAGGCCAAGGTGAGAGGATTGCCCGAGCACAGGGGTTCAGGACCAACCTGGGCAACTTGGCGAGACCTCATCTCTTCAATAAATCAAAAAAATTAGCCAGACATGGTGGTGCATGCCTGTAGTTCCAGCTACTTGGAAGTTTGAGGTGGAAGGATCACCTGAGCCCAGTAGGTAGAGGCTGCGGTGGTTGTGAGTGTGCCACTGCACTCCAGCCTGGGTGACAAAGTGAGACTCCAACTAAAAAAAAAAGAGAGAGAGAAAGAGACGAGATCTTGCTATGTTGCCCAAGCTGGTCTCGAACACCTGGGCTCAAGCAGTCCTGCCTCAGCCTCCCAAAGTGTTGGGATTATAGCGTGAGTCACCACACATGTCCCACAATTTCACTTTAGATGCAACTTAAAGAACTATGGTTCTTGTCTACAATCTGGTATCTTTTATTAGTAGTTATTGATAGTAATTATCATTTACCATAATTTTTTTTCAAATTTAAGTTAAACATAACCTTAATCCCAATTTGATTTTTTTCTCTTAGAATTAAAACCAGCTGCATAAACACAGATTGAGTTCTCAGAACTCAAAACAGATTGATGAGAGCAGCTCAGCAATATTTACTCTCTTTTATATGGTAAATAAAGAGGAAAACCTATGTCCATTAACTTTAGGAATCAGTGCTTCTTTTCCTGCCAGGTGTTCACAGGAGATAGCTTTATTCTGAATCTCCTTGCTATTAGGTAACTTTGAGATTAATAACAATTGAGTTTATTCGTAGTTTCTAATTTTGTCTAAAAAGACTCTTTTAGAAGAACTTTACTCCCAAATAATTTAAAGCTTTTAGAATGTAGCTCAAGTATTGGAACCATTTTATGACCTTTGTTATTATTTTTTACTATTGGGTAGAAAGTACAATATTAAAAACCCTCTCCAAGTCTACTTTAAAAAAATTCCATATCAGACAGATCAGTGGATTCCTTCTAGAAATTTTCAAGGAGGCTAAGTGAGATTATTTCTGCTAGCAAGGTGAGGTCAGGTGAAAGATACCTTTTGGGCTGGCTGCTCCTGGTGGAATCCTAAGGTCAGTTTTGTCCTCAGAAGGTTTAGCTTCATAGCTGTGAACAATGCTTTATGTACACACAAGCTCTTTTTTTAAGCATTTGTATTCACCTACGTATGGTTTTTAAATAGGAATCATTTCTTGGTTATTTGCTGCTTTCAGACCATTCAAATGGAAGAGATCACTATTTGGCCTCATTTCATAAGTGGAAAGGCTGAAGAAAGCCCTTAAGTTAGTGGCTAGTTGAAGGTCTCACAACAGAAATCAGTGAGAGTCTTTCTCTGGCTTTGTTCTCAAATTTAGGGGCAAATTTTCCTTGATGTTTATTTTCAGTCTGCCCTTTTTTCGTATCCAGTCTACCTTAAAGCTCTCTTGCACCCTAGCACTTCAATTCAAGTGCCTTTTTGTTTTTTTTCTGTTTTTATTAACCCAGATGAATAGTCTTGATGTAGTTGGGGACTTGGATGGGCATATCTTAAAGCAAAATTTAAAAATAAACCTTATTGTTCCTTCAGTCTTGGAGGTGGAACATTCCTAGGCCTATGTTGCTTGCTGACTGGTTGTGAGACCTTTGAAGAAGCTCTGGAAATGGCAGCTAAAGGCGACAGCACCAATGTTGATAAGCTGGTGAAGGACATTTACGGAGGAGACTATGAACGATTTGGCCTTCAAGGATCTGCTGTAGCATCAAGGTAGAGACTAAGTAGCTAACAGCAGTAGTGATTAAACACAAGGCAGCTTCACCACCCTGGCCATTCACTGAGTTATGTTTTAAAATGCCAACCCACCAGCCTGGTGCAATTATCTCTCATATTGGAGCTTAGACTTGATCTCCTCTCCTTGATGAAGTACTGAGATGTTTAGCTCTTGATGCTTGAGCTTAAAATAAGGCAACTTTGAAAGAAGGTTCTGGAAAACTGCAACAGTTTCCCTTGCTCCATTCTTGCCCAGATATCCAAAGGCATTAAATCCCCCCCCCATTAATAGACATGCTACTTTGTCCCTATTAAGAAAAGGGCAGCCAGCCATTCATACTGTACTCCTGTATGCTTATAAACCATAGTAACAAAATCAGGTCATTTGAGTTATTCCTAGAGCTTTCCACAGTACCTTGGTGGAAGCATGGGCACTGCCTGAGGATGATTTGAACACTCTCGCTAATATTTCCAACATAGCTTTGGCAACATGATGAGTAAAGAAAAACGAGATTCCATCAGCAAGGAAGACCTCGCCCGGGCCACATTGGTCACCATCACCAACAACATTGGCTCCATTGCTCGGATGTGTGCGTTGAATGAGGTAAGGCCTTACTCAGCCGGGAAAGCCATGTGTCATTCATACGCATCATCTTGGCAGTGCAATACCTATTGATTCGTACAAAACCGTGTACCCTTGGGAAACCTGCCCTTTTTATAGTCGCATTTTAAGAACAGGAGGGTTGTGTGTTGGGGAGGTGGGAGGAGTATGTGCTTTATTTTTGACAAGACACTTGATGGAAAAAAGTAGTAAACAGCCCACTGTGGAAACATGATACAATCACAACCCATGTCATAGTCTCCCTGACCATCATTATTGCCATGTGCCCACTGAAATGTGAGGAGCAGCCTTGCAAGTAATTATGGGTAAAACGCTACACTTGCAATATTCGATATTCTCTCTGCTTTCAGCTTCTTTACAGTGTTGCCTTGTGGCATGGAGTTCAAGCAGCATTGTACAGGGCTATCAAAGCACAGAGAGCTTGCTACAGCTGAGGCCAGCCAGAGCCCCGGGCACAAGAAGGGGTGGAGTTGGTGACAGACAAAGCTTTGTTCACATGTTTTGCAACATTGCAAAATTCCTTTGGAAAAAATGGAATCCTTTTCTGAAATACAAGGTGTGTAAAGTAAACAACTCCCTTCTCACTGAGGCGTGTTAGGAAGACAAGAAAGAAAAGTTGGGGCATAAAACAGGTAATTAGGAGAGTATTAAAAAGAGTCATATAGATTAGTAGCGGGATTTTTTTAAGTATAATTTTTAATAGGAACATGACATATACAGAAGAGGCTCAAATTATAAGTGTACATCTTGATTAATTTACACACACACACACACACACACACACACACACACACACACACACACCCTGTATAGACATCACTCAGACTAAGAAATAAAACATTATAGTTACTCAGAAGCACCCTCAAGGGTTGAATAGTGGACTGTTAGAATATGAGGCAGGCTTTATGACAGGTGAGTGCTGGCCCTGCCTTTGAGCTCTGGGGTGACTGAATAGAGTATAAGACTGGTCTATAGATCAGGGACATAACATTTTAGAAGCCCTCAATTCAGATGGAGTTTAAGTGAAATTTAAAAATTCAGATGGAGTTTAAATGAAATTTGAATTCACTGTAGTTCCAGCTACTTGGAAGGCTGAGGTGGAAGGATTGCTGGAGCCCAGCAGGTTGAGGCTGCAGTGGCTGGGAGCGGCCACTGCACTCCAGTCTGGGTGACAGAGTGAGACTCCAACTCAAAACAACAAAAAAAGAAATTTAAATTCAGATTGAGTTTAAATGAAAGAGCATTCCAGAAATGTGCCTTTTCAAAGTCCACATCAGTCATGGGACTCATTGTAACAGAATTTATTTTTTGACATTAACCTTGTAAAGGGAGTTTTTCCAAGTAGCAAACAAGTTCTAAGCCTAATATGTGTGTAGCTGGCTGTACTTGTGGGCTCTCAAAGGTCATCTAGATGGTAACATCCCTTGCCGCATAGAGCAATCCATGCCCTCTGCCCTACTTTCCACAGAGCTGGCTTCTTGTGCTCTGGCTGGAATGAGCTGGTATGTCTTTCACAGGTGTCCTTTGCAGGAGGAAAACTGATTTTATTTTTCACTTTTGATTTCAATCTCAATGTCTATTTTTTGTTATAGTATAGTAAAAGTGCCTATTTGAAAGTGTAGCCATGATATATACTGGGTTGAACAAGAGTTAGTTTCCGTGGAGCTAAATGAATAAAAAAAAAGATGGTGAAGGCTCCTTCAGAGGGCTTCTAGTCAAAACAGACTCCCATGGATATGCCAGCCACGGCAGCATCGCGTTTCCCTGTGAGAGCAGTCACGGAGTTCCTCAGATCTTGTTTTGCTCTCTGGAGTTACTGACTCGAGAATCTTTGATCCCAGCCATTTCATAGAGCGACACCACATTTCCTGAATCTAAAATGTTTTTGCTGTGATTCTTGGAATGCAATGAAATGCTTCCCATCAACTTTCAGTTTTCTTGTTTATATTTTGGAATAGATAATACAAACACATAATACAGAGTTCTAAAGATGCCAGAAGGGTGTACAGGGGAGTGAGTCACATTTCCACCTCTCTCTCTCAATGTTACCCTCACTAGAAGAAGCCAAGGTTTTTAGGTAGCAAACTCTATGTAACATTTTAAAAAATAACAAATGTACTAAAATATAATCACATACCACACAATTCACCCTCTGCATACTATTCAACATCTTGCTTTGTTTATCAGTTTTTTATTAAGAAAATTGGTAACATACATAAAGGAGAGAGAACATATGAAGAACCCCTGTATCTCCCTCAGCCCAGAGTCTACAATTGCCAAGACTTTGCAACACAGGCTTTATCTTTCTGTTTTCTTCTTCTTCCTCCCTCTGCTCCACTCTCCTCCTCCCTCCTTGTATTTTTTTTTTTTTGCTGAAATATTAAAAGGCAGTTCCCAGACATATCAGTCTACCCTGCATACTTCAGTAACCACCTCTGAAAGCACTGCTTTTTTACATAATAACACATCTTGAGATTGTTCATATCAGTATATTTAGAACTGCTTTATTTTTTGTTTTGTTTTTTGTTTGTTTGTTTTTTTGGGTTTTTTTGAGTTGGAGTCTCACTCTGTCACCCAGACTGGAGTGCAGTGGCCGCTCCCGGCCAGAGCAGCCTCGACCTGCTGAGCTCCGGCGATCCTTCCGCCTCAGCCTTCCAAGTAGCCAGAATTACAGGCATGCGCTACCATGCCCGGCTGATTTTTTGATTTATTGTAGAGATGAGGTCTCGCTGCCCAGGTGGGTCTCAAACCCACGAGCTCAGGCAATCCACTCATCTCAGCCTCCCAAAGGCACGGGATTACAGACTGAGCCACCAAGCCCGGTTTAGAACTGCTTTATTTTTAATGACCACATAGCATCTTAACATATAGACATGCTATTATTGGTTTGATCAATTTCCTAGTAATATTTAGGTTTTTCTAGTCTTTTGCTACTATTTAAAAATCTGCAGTACCAGTTTAGGCAATATAGTGAGATCTTGTCTTTACAAAAAAATTAACCAGGTGTGGTGGCAAACACCTATAGTTCCAGCTATTCAGAAGGCTGAGGTAGAAGGATCACCTGAGCCTAGGATGTCGAGGCAGCAGTGAGCCATGGTTGTGCCACTACACTCCAGCCTGGGCTACAGTGAGACCCTGACTCAAAAAAATAAAAATCTGCAGTTATTTATATAGTGTGTATATACACACACACATGCACGTATGTATACACATATACTATTTTTCATCCATATAGTGAGTATATCTGTAGGATAAATTCCTAGAAGGGAAATTGCTGAGTCAAAGAAGATGTTGATTATAATTTATAAAATATTCTTCATAAAGTTGGTTCCAATTTATATTCCCACCAGGAAGAGTTATAAGAGTACAATTTTCTCCACAGAGGGTTATCAAACTTTTTTATTTTTTTCAATCTCATAGGTCAGATACCTTATTTTTGAATTAATTTGCATTCTCTCCTAAGTGAGGTTAAGCATTTTTCATATATTTAATAGCCATTATTTTCACCTTTGCACACATATGAACAATCTATTATTAATACTGTTCATCCATTTCTCTACTGGGTTGCTGGTTGTTTTTTTCCCCCTACTAATTTGTAGGTACTCTATTAAGTAACAGATTTATTTTATGTTTTACGTACAGAGAATATTTTCTATTTATTGCCTCCCATTTGAATTTGTTTGTGGAGATGTTTTCCCCCTGAATAAATGTTTGATTTTTAAGTAAATAGGTCAATCTTTTTTATTTGTTTATTTTGAGTTGGAGTCTCACTCTGTTACCCAGGCTGGAGTGCAGTGGCACTCTTATGGCCATCGCACCATCGACCTGCTGGGCTCAGCCAATCCTTCCGCCTCAGCCTTCCAAGTAACTGGAACTATAGGCATGGGCCACCATGCCTGGCTAATTTTTTAATTTATTGTAGAGACAAGGTCTCGCCAAATTGCCTGGGCTGATCTCGAACCCCTGGACTCAGCCAATCCTCTCACCTCGGCCTCCCAAAGTGCTGGGATTACTTACAGGCTTGAGCCACCGCGCCCGACAATATGTCAATCTTTAAATGGAGTGTTATGCCTTTTCTACTTCAAGATTAAAACATGTTCTCCCATGTTTTTCCTCTAGACTCTTTTTTTCTTTCTTTTTTTTGAAACAGGGTCTCACTCTGTCTTTCAGGCTGGAGTGCCATGGCACTACAGCCTCAACCTCCCGGGTTCAAACAATCCTCCTACCTCAGCCTCCCAAGCAGCTGGAACTATAGGCATGCACCTCCACATCCAGCTAATTTTGTTTTTTCTATTTTTTGTAGAGACAAGGTCTCACTATCTTCCCCAGACTGGTCTCAAACTCCTGGGCTCAAGTGATTCTCCCTCCTCAGCCTCCCAAAATGCTGGGATTATAGGTGTGAGCCACCATGCCCAGCCTCTTTTTTCCTTTTGTAAACATTTGTATCTTCGATCTGCCTGGAATTCATTTGAAACATGGACTGTGCAGCAGCATTTCATGCCACTTCTACTCCTTGTAGCTTTCTTCTTTTTTTTGAGTCGGAGTCTCACTCTGTCACTCCGGCTTGAGTGCAGTGGCACGCTCATGGCCACTGCAGTCTTGACCTGCTGGTCTCAGGCGATCCTTCTGCCTCAACCTTCCAAGTTGCTGGAACTATAGGCATGTGCCACCACGCCTGGCTAATTTTTTGATTTATTGTGGAGACAAGGTCTCACCAAGTTGCCCAAGACTGGTCTTGAACCACTGGGCTCAGGCAATCCTCTCGCCTCGGGCTCCCAAAGTGCTGGGATTACAGGCTTGAGCCATCACGCCTGACCTCCTTGTGGCTTTCTATTAGGAGATGCAAGACTGGGCTTTGAGCAAGTCCTTCCTGTTTTAGGGATTTAGGGCAAAACTCCTAAATTTAATTAAATTCCTTCTTTAATCTGAGTTTCTTACTTTGAGTGTTTTACCACCTCTTAGTATGGGTGATTTATAGCTAGAGTAAACTTTTTAAATGGAAACTTATTAAAATACTCCCATTACTCTACCCATGGAAAATTTTCAGTGACAAATGGATTTATGAACATGCATTCTTAAAACCTGAGACAGTTAAAAGTTGATGTTCTCAGACCCTGATTACTCTAGATAAACTGAGCAGAAAATAATACGAGCTTCAAAGACTTTCTTGCCTATGAGTAACCATAGCAAGTGACTCACTGAGTGAATGAGTGAGTGGTGAGCAGACAAGCTGATGGATAGGCTGGGCTCAGGTTTTTTTGTTTTTTGTTTTTTGTTTTTTTGAGTTGGAGTCTCACTCTGTTGCCCAAGCTGGAGTGTGGTGGCACACTAACAGCCACCGCAGCCTCAACCAGCTGGGTTCAGGTGATCCTTCCACCTCAACCTTCCAAGTAGCTGGAACCACAGGCCCATGCCACCACACCCAGCTAACTTTTTAATTTTTATTGTAGTGATGAGGTCTTACCAAGTTGCCCAGACTGGTCTTGAACCCATGGGCTTAGGCAATCCTCTCACCTTGGCCTCCCAAAGTGCTGGGATTATAGGCATGAGCCACTATACCTGGCCTTGAGCTCAGTCTTAAACTTAAGAAATATCTGGG